CCTCGTTGCTTCACCCATCAACGACGGGTGGACTCCGATCTCGAACGGACACCGCCCGCCCTCCCCCACTCGTCGTTCCCGGTCTGCTGCCCTCCGCTTCGTCGCTGTTTTGCCGGACGATCCGCTGTCATCGCTCTTGGAGTCGTGGGTTCTTGTGGGTTCGACGTTTGGTCCCGGACGAATACGATTGTTGAAGGGTACCGGTTGCCCATCTCAGGACTCATCACTGCAGCCACCGACATCGCTTGGAGTTGGTCACCGCCCCCGACCACTTTCTTTTCTTTCTCTCGTTGTGCAAGACAACTAGTCAGGGCCTGAGGTGATTCATCGATACGATACGATCCGGTATCAGGTATCGGATTGGATCTTTCATTTCTGTTCAATTTATTTTGGTCTCTTGTCCAGTCCACTGACTTTTACCTTCACTTTCTTTTAAGTTGTGTTTTTAGATTTCCCTTTGAAGTGTACTGTCAGGTGTGTCTCTCCTTGGGTTTTGGTTTGCTTTCATCTTCATTATTATTTATTGGTTCATCACCAATTTTTTATGCTTTATCACTGACCACTTTTGCCTTTTTGACCATTCATTTAGGTTTTTGTCTGTTATCAGGTGAGTATTTATTTTGTTTTATTTCTTTTTCTTATTTAATTTTCTTTTATCATTATGATTTATTGGTTCATTCATCACTATTTTTTTATGGTTCATCACTGACATCATTTGTTTCTTTTCCCATTTATTCAGGGTTGTCTCTAGTGTGAGGTGAGTATTTTTTTTCTTATTTAATGGATTACTATTTTTAATCATTCAATCAAATGACAGATCAATCTCAACTGACATATCATTGGACATTTTTTTTTCAGACATAGAATAGTGATTCAAACTCTTCACCAAGGACCAACAACGCTGCTGCTGCCAGAAACCTACAATCTCTACTCAATCATGGCCACCTCCTCAACCCCTGCTTCCAGGTCTCAGCCCAACACCCCTCCTCCAGGAACCCCATCAGCCTCTCGTCCTCCATCTCGACATTCGACGAGGATTACCACTCCAGTCCGAAATGACCCTAATTTTGTCAGGCCCAGCAACGATTCTCGCAAGGCCCTTCCCCCTTCTTCAGCAACTCAGACGTCTGCAAGACAAACGCGTAAACGTCCCCAAAGGCCATCGTCCCCTTCGGCTTCAACCTCGACACGTGCCGCCCGCAAGACCAAGAAGGCCAAGGCATCTCAAATGCCCAAGAAACACAAAAGCAAGAGGGTCATTGTATCCAGCGGGGATTCGGATTCTGAATCCGACTCAGAAGCTTCATCTCAATCTGAACCTGAAACGCACGGGACGGCA